AGTTTATCAATTGATTAACTCGGTCATATCCACCCTGGCTCTCAAAACAAGCACACACCCGTTCAAAACGGTGGGCATATTGTCCCACTCTAGGCGCTCACTATGTGCGGCACAAGGCATACAAAGACAAGTGAAGAAATTATGCTCTTGAAGTCTCCATGCTTTATTTGGAGAAACAAATACATGCAAAAATAATTACATCCTCTGTAAAAGAGATACGTTTAAAGGGAGCACATCGGGAGGGAGGTGAATGCTATTAAGTGTGTGGCAGGGGAGTAGCAAGCTTCATGAATAGGTCACATCCCAGTAGTTTATTTTGTGGAGAAAGGACAGTAGTTCAAATATCAGTAAGTGTCTACACAAGCTGTTGTTTACAAGATTTATTTAGTATTCAGGTAGGTGCTGTTTGTTCTATAATCTATTGACTATCCCCAGTGTACTAATGAGGTAATACTAGTGGCCAATAAAGGCCTTTGGCAGCAATTTTTAAAAACATCATTTCAAGCACAGTGCCACCTCTAGACTCTCATGATTGAGACACAATTGAAGTTGGCTTCTTTGGGTCACAAGTCTATTTTATCTCGGCAGGATTACATTAGTTGCAAATGTAGAGATTTGTCATTATTGACCTTCTAGTCTCTTTATCTTGTATAATGGGCTACTTTGGCTCAGTTAATCATGGCAGGAAAGTACACTGAATGTCAAAATATTGAGGTGAATGGAAAGGACCCAAAAGAACCTGGACTTCTTGTGTTCACAATTCACAAATCCATTGTAGCCCCTCTTTCACGGAGGCTGTGGCCCCGAACTCAATGGGCAACAATAAATCCAGAATCTCAGAAGCAGGTGTAAGGTTTCTCTCACCCATTTGAGACACACAAGAATCCTGTCTTAGTTTCTATCATGTCTACTTTTCTCATCTGATGGTCAGCAAGAATATTAATATGTGCAGACATCTTGAAATGTAGAATGTTATATTTAAAGTCAATGATTCCATAACTTGGTAAATGGTGCCTAAGTTACTTTAAAACATAAAACCTTTCTCACATTTTTATTTCTACACTTCACACAATAAAAAAAGCTTTTTTCCTACGTTTCAGAAGTTATGCTGTTTTCTGAACTATAGCCATAATACTTTAGGAGAAGCTCAATTTATTCCTGTTTTTGAATATGAAGAATGTGAATAATCAACATGTTATCTGGAAATGCCTGTCTTTTATTTTGTCAAAGACCATCGAACTAGTTCCCTCTTGTGATTAAATATAACCTTTAAAATATGGGCTATGAGTGTCCTTTTAACTTTTAGAATTATACCTTTAACATTCTTTATGTCCTGGTATCATCATCAAACTTTTATGGGTATTTTTAATAAGCATCTCTTGAAAATAAGACCCATAATAAAATACAAGTGGAAATAGAAATGACAACATTAAAGCATAAGAGGTAAAGGGGACAATTTATAGAACATCAGTGGGATTTACATGTCCCCACTATCTTCTCCAGCCCATGGTCCTAGTCTCAGTCTCAGGAGTCCCAGGGTATAACTTAACAGTGCAATTTGTCATGTGAAATAGTATTTGCCTCACTCATTAAAAACTCATTGTCAGACACTTTACATGATTTGAATCCAATGTTTGCATCCACACATATTCTTATTATTGAGAAAACCAACTCAGAGAGCTCAAGAGACTTGACTTGCTTAGAGTTGTACATTGAAGTTCATGAAGAATTAGAATTTGATTCTATGTTATCTGAATCCAAAACCAAGTCTTTTTTCCTTGGTTTTGTGCCTAGGGAACAGAGATGTTCCAAAATTTCTATGTATAAGACTTTTAAAGGTCAGAAGAGCCCAGTGTCAAGCTCTTTCTTCTAGCTAAGTGGCTAGGGTAAAGTTGTTTAACCGCATTTGTTTTTCATACACAATAAAGATAAATGACTTTTAGAAAGATTAAAATGCCATTTTAATTCCTTGAACAGAATCAGAGAAAAGGACATCACATGGAGGGTTTTCCTTGGGGAAGGGAAGGGTAGGAATAGGAGGGAAAAGGTACAGTGAAGAAGAAGCATAATTAGTAGGCATTAAATAGACAGGGAAAAATCAGAAATGGTGTAGGAAACAGAATTCAAAGCACTTATATGTACAACCCATGAACATGAACTAGGGGCAGGGGGATGCTGGAGGATTGGGGGGTGCAGGGTGGAGGGGGAATAAAGGGAATTAGGAAAACTGTAATAGCATCATCGATAACATATAATAAAAAAGGGTCTTACTATTATTGATGCTAAATAAGAAAGAGGGACACATCTGCCTGAAAGTGGGAGAGTTATAAGGAGAAACTGAGGTGAGGGTAGAGGACCCTGATGTAGGAGAAGTTTAGAATTTGGCATTAAGTCAGAGATATTTCTACTACAGTGATGTAGAAATACAATGCAGGCCACAAATGCAAGTCCCATGCTTAAGTTTAAATTTCATAGTAGCCGTGTCTTAAAAAAAGAAAAAACAAACAGGGGGACATTAATTTTACTAATATAGTTTATGTAATCCAGTGTATCTAAAGGATTGTCACAGCAAGCTATAGTCAAACACAAGTTCTGTCCAGGTAGCTCATTTGGTTAGACTGCTTGACACTCCAAGGTTATGGGTTCTTTCCGGGTTAGGGCACATACAAGAATCAACTGATGAATGCATAAACAAGTGGAATGACAAATTGATGTTTCTTTCTATTGCTCTCCCTTCCTACCTCTCTCTAAAATCTAAAAAATATGATCAACACAAACCACAAGCAAGTCTACATTCTTTTTTATATTTAGAGCACATCTTTATTTGTAATAGACACATTTCAAATGCCCAAGAACAACATGAAGCTAGAGCTTATAGAACTGGACATCATAGCTCTTGTAGGTTAAAAAGCAAGCCTGAATAGACAAAATGGTCACAAGGCTTCTGTGTTAAAATAAATTCATTTTGGAATGGGATAATACAAGTGTAAACATATGTTGATAATTGGAGGAGGTTAAAATTTCCATCATTTGGTAGTAAATTAAGGAACTGTCAGGGAATAGTGTAGAGTGGAATGAAGGAAGAAGACAAACATTGGTAGAGCAGGCATTTTACATCCATTGTAATGTAACAGAAAGTCACAAATCTCCTCATCATATACAAGTACTATTCAAGTGATGAAAAGCAAGGACCTACAAACAAGATTACTCTACCAGAAAAGCTATCATTTAGAATGGAAGGGCAGATAAAGTGCTTCCCAGACAAGGTCAAGTTAAGGAAGTTCATCACCATCAGGCCCTTATTATATGAAATGTTAAAGGGACTTATGAAAGAAAAAGAAGATCAAAACTATGAACATTAAAATGACAGCAAACTCACAACTATCAACAACTGAATTTAAAAAAACAAAAATAAAAACAAACTAAGCAAACGACCAGAACAGGAACAGAATCATAGATATGAAGATCATCTGGAGGGTCATCAGCAGGAAGGAAAGGAGGAAAAGAGGGGGAAAAGTGCAGGGAGTAAGAAGCATAATTGCTAGGTACAAAATAGGCAGGAGGATGTTAAGAACAGTTTAGGAAATGGAGAAGCCGAACAACTTATAGACACAACCCATGGACATGAACTAAGGTGGTGGGAATGCCAGAGAGAAGAGGGTACTGGGTAGAGGGGGGCAAAGTGGGAAAATTGGGGTAACTGTAATAGCATAACTAATAAAATATACTTAAAAAAAGAAGAGAATGCAGAAGCTTAAAGAGTCACTTGCTTAAGTTTCTGCTTTCTACCATTCTATGAATCTGTGACTACCCAAAACCAATAGTTTGTGTCTATCTTATTCTGACTGCCTATGGGGGAGAAGAAAAAAAATGTATAATCTGCCAGCTGACCTTAGACTGTTGCTGACTAGAAGCAGAGGTAGAGAGGATTCACCAAAGGCAAGGGGCAAGGAGTATTGAAAACTTGCAAAGGGCTGTGTTTCAAAAGCTTGAGATTCAACTCTTAAGCCTGGAAGGTATTTAGGGAGCCAGAGAGCCAGGGAGCCAGGGAGCCAGACCCCAGGCAGCTGTTACACCACATGGTTGTTATCCCAAGGACATGTACCTGCTGTTCTCTTGGCACAGTTCAAGAGAAAAAGCAAAGAACTGGGTATGACATGTAGTCAAAGAGCTAGGTGGAAATATAAAACAAAAAACTCCTGCAAATTTGTTTGGTTAACAATCAGAGGAGCTTGTACAATGGTCTGACCTGGATATCCAGGCTCTAGAATAGATTCTTATCTGACTTTCAATAGGTTCAGCATGTCTCCTGGCTTATATTTTAACTATAAAATAACAGTCATTCTCAAACCTATACATGTGAAATGCAGATAATCTAGATTCTGTGGGTGTAGATTGTTAAGTAATCTTGTGTCGTGATGGTAAGAAAATTTTTCATCATATAGTTCCCACATAGTCAAGTCTTTTATAAGAACTTGGCGGAAAGGGGCACCAGACAGCTCTAATTAGCCATGCTTTCACAAAAGCTGATTTTCATAAAAATCAAGTTATTTTCAGTTAAGGATCATTGCTGAGAGGAAAGAAAAGGCAAATGAGCTGAAGAGTAATAAGATTCTCTTAAAAAATGGGATCATAATGAATTATTATTTCTATTTGAATAAGTAGTTCACACTTAATTACTTATCCTATAGGATTGTGAGAGAGTTATAACAATAAATTATTCTTTCATTCAAAAAGTTATTCAACAGCTATGTTTTGAGCATCTGCTATGCACTAAGTGCTATTCTAGGCTCTGATTACAGGGCAGTGTGGCAAAGGCCGCAAGTTGATCCCTGAACCCATGTCCTCTTCCTGGGAGCCCAACTGGACTACATTTCCCAGCCTTCTTTTTGGTCACCGATGGATATACAACTGAGTACTGGCCAATGGAATGTAAGAAAAAGTGTTACTTCTGCTCCTGTCTTGTGAGATTTGCTGTGATCTTTCCCCTACCGTGGTGACCTTGGGAACTACATGGAAGTTGGTAGAACTACAGTGAAGAAGGAGGTGGGGTCGCCACTTAAAAGAAAGCGGTAAGTCTAAATGGTTTTAGACTCCAGGTGAGCTAGAAAGAAACTTTTCAGTTATAGCAGTGAGCATGGCCTTAATATAAACATGAGCAACAGACTTGCTTTATGCCTTCTTGGTTTTATTTCTGTGTGATGCAGACAAAAAATAAACCACATAAATATAGATACAAGGGGGACTGAAAAAAGTTGTTTATTTATTACATTTGTGTATTTATTTTACATGTTTAAACTTTAGTCCCCTCAAAGTACTCACCATTTGATGCAATACACCTATTGAGATGTTTTTTCCACTGTTCAAAACAGTTTTTGAATTGTCAGTTTAGATGATTTTTAGCGATTTTGTAGATTCTTTGTTTCACCTCTTCCATCCACATCAGCAAAATGTTTCTTTTTGAGGACGTTTTTTTATCAGGGAAACAAAAAAAGAAAAGTTGCTTGGGGCAAGATCTGGTTAGTAGGGGGGTTGGGGCACGGGGGTCATGCCATTTTTGGTCAAAAACTGCTGAACGTTCAGTGTGGGCAGGTGTTCTCCTAAATCACCCATCATGAAATGAGCAAACACTTTGAAAGAGTCTTTAAACAAAATTCACTGAAGTCAGATGCAGCCTCTCACAACAATACCAGCTGGTACACTGATACAGATGGATTCCTAGACCACTCACCTAGCAAGAGAATCTTGCACTACTAGGGGCCTACTCTCCAGAAGATGATTCCATTTCTTGGGGTGTCCCCCCTCATACATTGTTATATGTGAATATGTTAAGCCTAGATATAGATGCCCACATAGTTCATCCTAAAAAATTAAAATGGGTACTGATATAAAATAATTTACATTTGACATTAGAATAAAGTATGTCTTTCACTTTTCATTCTGGCCCTCTTCCCAACATACACACATACCCCTTTTACCAAATAAAGTCTATTTTCTGAAACAGTGATGGACTCCAAGTATGTGGATTAACAGAAATCCCATTATCAGAGATTTCGGTTCACTGTTTTCTTTACCGAATGTTAATCCACTTATAGAAAGATGTAAATGCATTTTCCCCCAGGCAATAATGAAATACTGGATGGCTGATTTTCTCTCATGAACAAAAATAGAAATGCTGAGTAGAAATAGTGGTAGAGCAGCATGCTGAAAGATGACTCAGGTGGTAATCAAAGAGGTCTAAGATCTAGTCCTAATTATATCATGGTAAAGTAGTTGCTTCTGAGGCCTTAGTTTCCTCATGTACTTAATGGAAGTTTTGGGCTAATTGACCTATAAGATTCTCTCAGCTCTCACATGTCTATTTCCAACTTCTGAACCCAAATGCAAACCCAAACCAAACCCTTTTTGGAGTGTGTGTGTGTGTGTGTGTGTGTGTGTGTGTGTGTGTAGAAAGTAGAAGTTTGGCTAAAATGCAGTGCTTTGGAGACATTCTGCATAGTTTACAGGTTCAGATGAAGAAACTCAGTATATGTACTCTGAATACTTGATGCTCAGTTAGAGACCTGACACATTATCTCGAAAAGGGAGACTAAAGAGACATTGCAAAATTCCAGGAGATGCAGAGATTCTGTTTGAATTTTCCCCAAAAATGTCCAAGACTTTTGCTTTATTTGACCACTATATTCCTTTTATATATATACATCAAACTATTACTGTTTGGCTCAAATTTTTATAAATGTAATTTATGATTTCAATTTCCCAAAGTCCTGAGCCTTCTTTCAGCCTTTCAAAATAACTGTGTTGTTTTAAAAATTGGTTCTCTCCCCCCAATTTCCTACACCCCTGCTCTGCTTCTTACCTCTGTGTTGTCTCCCAGGCCCCGCTCAGCTGTCTGGCTCCTGCTGGTGCTTCTGATTTAAGGTACTCTGTGCTTTCCCTTTTCCCTTACCATGGCACATTTGATTTAGGTACAGATGGATACATTATTAATCAGATTTTGGCTGCTGCTGTTAGCTCATTGGAGCTGCACTAATAAGCTACTAAGAGAAGAGTGAGGACAGCCTGTCTCCTTTTACAATAAAAAGCAAGTGTGTGACAACTCCATAGATTTCACTTTGGAATGAGAAATGCTACCTGCTTACCTGCTGGAAGCCTTAGTTCATTTGGGCAGGCATCCTCACTGCCCACACAGCAGGCAATGCAGGCCTGCTTAGATGGGGAAGGTGATACGTGCATAGATGGAGGACCATGCTCTGCTTCATAGTCATGAGAGGTTGGACTTCTCTGCTAAATATTCCATATGAACCCTAATTAGACATTTTGAACCAGATTCTGTATAATCCTATTTAATTTTTGCCACCAAACTATGACTGAATCTTTAGACTCTGAGCCTATGCTTTTCTCCAATACTGGAGACAGCTATGCTGGGAATTTTCTCCTGCTGTTGACTCTTCAACACATTTTCTGGGACCTCAGAGATCACTGAAAAAGCTACAGTGAAAGTTTCTTTATTAATCTAAAGTGTCCTACTTCTTTAGACATTCGAATGCTCTACTTGAAAATATCAATTTTTTAGCACTTATATCCTTTAACTGAACAATTCCCATTATTATTTATATACACACATATAATTATGTATATTATTTTATGTTTATGTATATATTATGTAATATATAATTACATGTGTTTATATATTATATATGTATGTGTATACACACACACAGGTTTATCCAAAAAAGTCCAGCCATTATTAATATAACAAGAATGGTTTACATGACATCAATGTAACCTGGCAGCCAAGGAGAGTGGACTGGAATGTGCATGAGTGAACAATGATGACTTCACTGTACTAGTCAGTGGGGATAGTACCATTAAGTGAGCATGTGCACTGTGTGTCCCTCACATTCAAAATGACTGAGCAAGTAGAGCAAGGAAGCTGCAACAAATTTTGCCTTAAGCTTGAACATCCCTCTATGGAAACTATTTGGATGATTCAGAAGGCCGCAGCTATGGGCAGCTAGTGATTGGCAGCTTCATTATGACAGTGCACTGGCTCATGCATCATATTTCATGAAGAGATTTTTGGTGAAACATCAAACCATCCAGGTTACTTAGCCCCCCTATCACCCATTTGGTGTGTGGCAACTTCTGGCTTTTCTCAAAACTAAAATCACCTTTGAAAGGGAAGAGATTTCACACCATTGATGAGATTCTGGGAAATACAACAGGGTAGCTTATGGTAACTGGGAGAACTGTGTGAGGTGCCAAGGTGCTTACTGAGTGAGGTCCCAAGGTGCTTACTTTGAAGGAGACTGAGGCCTCACCGTCATGTGTACAATGTTTCTTATATCTTCTTCAATAAATTTTCATATTACATGTCAGAGTACTTTCTGAACAGACCTCATATACATATACATAGATACATAATTTTACATATATATAATATATATACATATATATGTAATAGTAAAACTTGAATAAACCTTAGCGAGTCCTTAGGTAAATTACTGTACATCCATAGAATTGACTAATTTGAACCTATTTAAAATGAGGTAAATATATAAAATGATTTTGAAAAATCTTCATTATAAAATGAGACTGAACTCTTTTGTCAAAATATGTTTCTATCTACTCTCCATTTGTCTACCCATCCAACTATCTAGCCATTTTGGTTTATGTGTAAAGCATATTATATTTTGCTGAGAGTGTAGATAAAATTGGTTAACAGCAAATCCCACTAGGGAAAGTGACCACTGGAAAGGAAAAATATGTTCTAGTTTGCCTTCTGATTTTTTTTTTAATTTCTCACTTTGCGCAGGAATTGTTTTTATTTTTAAAACAGGGACATGTCAACTAAGGTTAGAAAGACTCTAATACTATTGAACATTCTTCTTATTATTTATTCCTATAATTCAACGCCTTTGTCTTATTTTAAAATGCCCTAATGTTAAAGCTTAATAGTTACATATAAATTTATTGACAGTCACTGTCTTGAAAATAAAATTTAAAAGATGAAGAGAGAGAATCATGGGTGTTATAAGTCTCTGAACAGTGAAGAGACCCTTAGGGGGCCCAAGGAAAGTGCTGTAGAGCCAGAGAAGGGACATTGAAAGATTCGTTAAATGTATCCTCCAAATCATAAACTGGGATAAATAAGGTCTTATTCAAGGTCCTTAAATTAAATGTAATGATAATGAAAAAGTGAATATAAAAATAAAATCCTGAGCTCCCAATTCTCAGTCCCATGTTTTCTGTCAATTCCACTATTTCTGAAGCCCCAGTGGGAACATTCTAGAAACACCTTTAGAGTTCACAACCCTTAGAGTTTTCAAGGCTATCTGACTGGCAAATTCATGCTTTCTCCCAGGCTTCACTTCAGCCCTTGGAGCCTTCACATTGAGGGGATGTGTGATGTCATTCAGAGTGTATGACTAGCAACTTGGCAGGCAACTTAAGACCACCTGAGAACACAAGGGAGTGTGATTATGCATGCATCCCAAGAGCAAATCTGGAAATGAAGATAAATCAATAGATAAATGAGAACTGTAGCTTTCTGAATATAATAACCAATATGCTATTTAATCAGTCAGCAAGTACTTATTTTGAAGGACCTATGCTCTCCATATTATGTACAGAGCTGTAGAAAGTAGGTACAAATGATGGAATGGCCTCCACCCTCAAGCAGCTTATGCTTCTACCTTCATGAAGCACATTCATTCTTGTGTCTCGTCCACTGAAATGTAAAAGAGCTACTTTCACTTTATCTCAGAATCCTTTGATATTTTCATTTAAGATGGAATATAATTCATGCTGTTTTGACTATGACTAGTATAAAATGTGTTACTTTTCATATCAATATTAAAATATATGAAAAGATAATTGATGTGAATTGTCCTTCCTGAGACAAGTCCAGACATATTTATACACATATGGTGCCGACTTGAGCAGAAGTGGTCTATGGCAGCTACATCAGGTCTCTCTGAGTAGATTTTCAAAGAAAATAAAGGACATGAGGAGTGGGAATAAGTTCTTTCTTCTCTGAAATATGCTGGTACTCGTATAGGGGAAAAGG